CGCCACCGCCGCCGCCGCCGCCACCGCCGCCACCGCCACCGCCGCCACCGCCACCGCCACCCCCACTCCCTCCGCCGCCCCCGCCTCCTCCGCCGCTACCACTCCCGCCAGCACTCCCGTCACCACTCCTGCCGCCACCCCCTCCTCCTCCACCGCCTCCACCACCACCCCCCCCGGTGCCACCACCACTACCTTTGGACCCCTTGCCCCTGCCGGTGCGCCGACTCCCACTAGGAGCAGAAGCAGCGCCAGCAGACTCAGCACCAAGGAAGTCAACAGCAGCAGCAGTAGCGAAGGAGGGGGCGAGGGGAGAGGGAGAGCACCCCTCAAAGATGGGGGTGCGAGGAGCGCCACGAGCAGCACCTACAGCGACAATGCTCTTCTCGGCCGCTAGCAGCTGCTCCTCTAGGAGGTCGACAGTGAGCTCGGCAGTGGCAGGGGAGGAGTAGCGAGCAACGACACCGTCGTACAAGGCTTTAGCGGTTTTGTGCTCACCAAAATGCGTGAGCTCAGCTAACGGCAGGTGGTTGCGAACGGCTAGGCGAGCAGCAGCGTCACGAGTCTGCCACTGGGAACGGGCACTAAGCTCAACAGTGGCAGGAGGAGCGATTGAGGCAGCAGACGTGTGGTCATAGAGAGAAACATTGTCATTGCTATCGCTCATGAGGAACAGCTGCAAGTCATCGAGCCAGGTCTCAAACTGAATCGGGCGGCCCTCAGCATCGAACGACAGAACTCGGAGGGTGGCCATAGCTGCCGGCGCGAGACTAGCAAGGCAGAGCGAGCGAAGGCAGCCGCAGTAGCAGGGCGGGCGGCACGCGGGGCTGCAGGGCAGCGCGGCGAGCGGCGCGCAGGTGGGGCAGGCGGCCGCGGCAGTAGGGCTGGCGGCGCGCGGGGCTGCGGGGCAGCGCGACAGGCGGCGCGTGGGGCCGCGGGGCTGCACGACGGACAGCGCGCAGGGCTGCGGGGCAGCGCGAGAGGCAGCGCGAGGGGCCGCCGGGCAGCGCGACGGGCAGCGGCAGAGCGCGCGTGGGGCTGCATGGCAGCGCGACGGGCGGCGCGCGGGGCTGCGGGGCAGCGCGACGGGCTGGCAAGGCGCCCGCGGGGCTGCGGGGCAGTGCAACGAGCGGCGCGCGGGGCTGCAGGGCAGCGCGACGGGCAGCGGCAGGGCGCGCGCGGGGCTGCAGGGCAGAGCGACAGGCGGCGCGCGGGGCTGCGGGGCTGCGCGCGGGCAGCAAGGCGCGTGCGGGGCTTTTGGCGAGCGGCGCGCTTGCCAGCGAAGGCGACGCGGCTCAGGGCAAGGCAGGGTAGGGCAGGGCGCGGGGTAGCACGGTAACCGCGAGCGGTTGGTGGTGGGCCCTAAAAAAAATCGATCCCAAGGTCCTAGGGACCTCCTGCTCAGAATACCATGTTGAGAGAGCTAGCAAGAATGATTTGACTAAGGGATGAATGTGGTACAAGTATGAAACCCTAAAGGGGTTGTACCCCTTAGTGGCTACCCCACTGTAGCCTACACAACCTACAAAGCATATAGAGTTTAACACGCATCGCGATTCACGGACTTCTAATGCAGTTTAAAGGGTGGTATTGCGTGGTGCAGGTGGAAATGGATGAGCGTAAGAGTCGCTCGCTTGCGTCGCGAAGCTGCTCGGTGGAGACAGCATCACCACCATGGCCGATGGCCTCGGATGGTGGTGCTGGCGTGAAATCTGAATTCGAATGCGTGGCGGTGGAAGCAAGGAAGGGGATGATGATGAGCGATCGGGTGGGGTGGGGTGTGGTTCGTTGAGCTGAGCATACGGTACAGTACTGGCGGACCTGAATTATGGTTGTTCCACACCCGGCACGATAGCTCGACACTTCTGTCTCGTTACACCTGATGCCTATTTCAGTCCCCTTTCCCGTCTTTCCCTGTGCTCCTCTCGCGAGCAAGCGCTCGCTGTCAGAGGTCCACTGGAGATCCCCGATTGATCCTAGGGAAGGGTTACAGGCAGGCCTCTGGATAGGATTTGAGACGCTCTTTCTCGTAAGGCCAGTGTCCTCCTCCCACTCTTTCAGCAAGGGTGGTTGAACTTAACCACTCTTTTTTATAAGGGTGCTAATTAAAAGTACCTTATCCAAGGCAAGCTGTTTGGCGCAGTCGATTGGAATGTTCAGCAGAATTGGATGCACGTGAGTTTAATAACCGAAAGATGCGCGTTATGGACCTCCCCAGAGGCAAATTATTCGAAGCAGAAGTCTTTTAATGAGAAATTCTTCCGAACTTAGTGAGGACAAGCCCAGTACCATCAGTGTTAGTACATCGTAACACTCTGAAATATCAGCGTCATAAAACCAAACACTTTTTTTTTTGTAAGGGTGTTAATCAAAACCACTGTGAAAAAAAAAAGGGTGCAAAGGCAAACCCTGCCTTATAATCAGTGTCATAAGGGTAAATCACCCTGATATCTAGAGGCCTGATTACAGGCACGTTGGCCTGGGGGGTTATGAGCGCACTCACCCGCTACACAAACAAGCCTTTTTATCCCAGTGGTTAGTGACTGGGATTCTGACATAGTATCAGAATGAAGGTCTCGGGTTCGAATCCCGGTGTGTGCACCTCGGGCATCCCAGTGCAGGGGGGTGTCAGAGGTCCACTGGAGATCCTCGATTGATCCTAGGGAAGGGTTACAGGCATGTTGGCCTAGGGGGCAGGGCTGACGTTTCGTATTAGGCCCCCCTGATTCTGGGGGAAAATTTTCCCCTCGATTATGAGTGCACATTTTTGAGAATGATGCTACCCTGGTCGCTCAGGGTTAAAAAGTATATAACTCTGATTGTTCAGGGTCGAAAATCGAAGTTCAGAGTAGTAACGCGCTCTTTATTACAGGGGAAAAAACATTGCTTTGCGTAAAGTGCGCTCTGTGTTTCGCGCACACTTTGAGCGCGCTAATTTCCAACCGTTTAGTTTTACAAAATAGTATTTGTCCATATGTTTAAGTGCGGGGAAGGGATTAGCGATTTTGGTCAACAAAACATTTCGATTCGATACCACAGATGTGCCAAATTTTTTATTCGCCGAGTACCTAAATGTCGTCAACATCGTTGTACGAAACGCAAAAAAGTGCTGGTAACTTCACGCACACGCAATTAAGACAGAACAACATCTTATTCGCACTTTGTGAAAGTAACAAATATCGAGTGTATTCGCCTGTCAGACATGCTGCTGTCCGTCGCTCACGCGCTGGCTGTACTGCGAGCAATACGAAGGGGGATTATTGGAACAAAAGTTCCGAGAAACTTCCTACCGATAAGGTCAAATTCAGAGTCCACAGAACGCGTACTCTACATTGACAGAGTCAGTAAGAACACTACTCTGAGCCTAGATACAATATTTCAGGGTTCGCTAAAGCACTATTCTGAATGGATCAGTGTTCACAAGTCAGAAATTCTGAAATTGCAGGGACCACCAAGTGAGAAGCCTGTAATCACCCTGAAATCAGGGTAATTACCCTAATAAAATCAGCCCTGTTGGGGGGCTATAAGCGCACTCACCCGCTACACAAACAAGCAATTTTATCCCACTGGTTAGCGGCTGGGATTCTAACACTCGCTAGGGGCAGAATGGGACTGAATGCAGAACACTCAACTACAGTGGTAAAATTGTTGGGTAGCCCAACGTGTTTTGTCTGGGAAACTCGATCAACTTATTCCAGGTCAAAAAAATCTTGGTTTTGTCGTGGGCTAGTAACGCGCGTGCCGTTGGTTGTGAATGCCGACCACTGGGCCTATGGAGTGGCAGTGGGCATGTTCAGAATGGGCGGTTGAGTGAGCATTAGGGTGTACTGATGCCATTCCTTGTCAGTTATCTGGTTTGATTTTGTCGGGTAGCCAGCACGGAATATTAAAGATGGTCATTTGCTGTACCCTTTAAGAGTTGCATAGCTCAAACCATGTCATTCTCATAGAGGGTGAACCTCCTTTAAAATATTCTTTATCACTGTTCCGGCAATGCCGCAAGGCATTACAAAAGTACCTGAACTCAACTTCAAGTGCCAACACAGTTTCGTTCCCTGGCGCGATGAGGTAAACATGGCAGATGAAAATGAGCGCAAGCCTCTAGAGTCGAAGCTAGGCACACAAGCGTGTGGCCAATGACGGCAGCAATTACAGCAATACCCCCAATACCGTGTCTACACCTCGTCAGAGTGCCAACCAGTAGCACATGGCGGAACGGCAAGGAACTCATCGAAATCGTTCACAAAAACTCCACAGCATTCCCACTGGAGAAGAAGAAACGAGTGGATGGGCGGACAGGTGAGAGGAGTGGAAACATGAATATGGGTGCGAGCACTGGGATGGGCAGAGAAAGAAGGAAACGGCAGGGCAATCATCGAAATCATTTACACATACTCCACATTGTCACTGGAGAAGAAGGGGTAGAGGGAGAGGGGGTCGGGCCGGGGAGAAGGAAAGGGGGGGGGGGGGAGAGGGCAGGGGGGGGGGATGAAGGAGTGGAAGCAGGATGATGGCTGGTGAGCAGCAGCACCTTAATTGCGGGAAGGAACTGCAAGAAACTCACGAAAAATTATTCACAGATACTCTGCAGTATTGCCACTGGTAAAAGCGAGCAGGTGCAGGGCAGGGGTGGGGGAAGAAATGGTGGGTGTGAGCATGGGCATGGGCAGAGGAGGAAGGGTGACTAAGGCTGCTTAGCGCCAATCCACTCACATACTCCAATTCATGCACTTACTGCACTTGATGTGACCAACTCATTGCTTATCTCTCTTCCAAGTGTCCCAACTTGTCCGAGTATTATGCTTACATCTCACTTACCAAGGCATGCACTGCAACAAACAAACCTATCGTCGCAGACTCGCACCTCACTCGCCTCCTGTTCACGATCACCCCTCCCTTCACTGAACCGACTCATCCCTTGAAAATTCACTCATCCCTGCACCCTCAACTCGCCCCACCACACACCCAGCCACCCAGAACACACCCTCCCTCCATCAACGCACCCCTCGCTTTCTGTCGTGGAAAACAGCAGGCCCCGGGTGGTGCTTGCATGCGCCATCGCTGTTGTCAATCTCCCGGTACTTGGCGCCACACCCCTTGTTGCTGCACGTGCGCTCCGCATTGATGTCCCACGACGGCGGCCGGGAGGGCTGGGGGGGAGCAGCAGCAGATGGACCTGCAGGGTGTAGTGTAGGGAGGAGAGGGAGGGAGTGAAGTTGTTGAGGTATCAAACAGCTAATAGAATTGACTGGCTATCGAAGCTTGAATGGATTCATTTTTCCGTAGTTCACTTAAAGTGGTTCAGAACGAAGCACTGGACTCCACCCCATTGCCCACGACTGGCTGGAGGCAGCAGATGATTGTCCAGGACCGTGGTGCTTCGCCCCATACCCTTGTGGTCACATACAGGCTCTGCATGTATGTTTCATGCAAGAGACTCGGGCCAGGTGAGCTGAGAGGGTTGTGCCTCTGAATGGAAGGTGAACAATATATGAGCTCTGCATTTCTGCGCCATAATTGATCGGGAGCGCCACAAGGGGTTGGGAATGGATGGAGATGTCCAGTGCCTTTGATGCTAGCGTGAAAACGCTTCAAGCATGTTGTTTTGCAAATGTTTATGTAAAAGCTGGTGAGTTACGTCGAAATCGCAAAACATTCTTTTTTTCTTCTTCTTCTTCTTCTTCTTCTAATTCTTCTTCTTTTTATTTAACCGCCAACCTGGAAAAAGAAAAGTCGAGCGTCACATGTCAAAACGCATATGAAGCGTCAACCGTGAATGCAGTGGACTCAGCCAAGGCGCCAATTCTCCCACTCAGAGAGAAAGTAATGTCTGCATGCCACATGCCCATGTCTGCATGCCACATGCCCATGTCTGCATTGCACATCCCGGTGTACTAGGATTATGATTGCATGCACTAGGGTATGGCATATCACCTTGGCGTACATCAGCAAGTGCCCATGTCACGCATAGAGTTGAGCAAATGCCCCGCTCGGGTCGGGCCGACCCGACCCGACCCATGGTTTTGCCCGGGTCGGGTCAAGGTTTCTGAAACCCTGGCCCGTACGGGCCGACCCGACCCGACCCGCAGAGAAACCCGACCCGAGAGCCCATGTCGGGCCGGGGCGAGCCAGGTCTCGGGTCGGGCCCGACCCGACCCGATTTTGGGTCAGAAATGTCGAAATCGGGTCGGGCCAGGTGCGCGACCCGATTTCGACAGTGTTAGGGCCGAAACCCAAACACAAATGTACATCGCGGGGATCTTTCCCCGTCGATTTCACTTCGCCACGACGAATCCAACCAGTGTTTGGTGACGCTTGGTACGTCTGTCAACCAGAATTTAATTGTACATGTCATGGAAAGTGTTCAACACACAAAGCAAACATTACGCTTTCCCGTGGTAGACATACAATGTATTATAAAAATATATTATAAACAACAATAACAGGTAACTGCACAAATTGTGAAGAACACCCCAAGTCCCCCCCAAAGGGGCGGGTCTACCTGGCCCGACCAGAACCCGGGTCCCCGTTGACCCGAGTGAGTAGGCCCGGGTCGGGCCGGCAGTTTCAAGAATCTGGCCCGAGCCCGGCCCGACCCGACCCGACCCGAGAGCCCGTGTGGCCCGGCCAAATCGGGTCGGGTCGGGCCGGGTCGGGTCGGATGCTCAACTCTAGTCACGCACCTTGCCGTGCACCAGGACATGTAATATCACCTTGAAGGAGTCTGCCATTGAAGTGCGAACTCAAACACGGCTTCAATATTGAAGATGGTTCGGGGACGATACTTGCCGGATCTGTATGATCTGGTGTTGAGTATGATTCGATCATTTGAGGGGGATGAGCACATGCTGAAAGGATGCGTGCTGGTATTTTTGTTTCACCGCATCCTACCCTCCAGAATTTTCCCTTATAAGACAATTTGTCCAAAAGATTTTCAATTTCAGCTTCGCACACTGTGTGGGAAGTGTTGGAGAAGATGGACATGTGCGGGGTGGACAGTTTTTTCCTCCAACAGAAGACGTTCGAACGACAGTTTTAGATGTGCAGCAATGGATGGCGATGTACCTCTTTGATGACACCCAACAAACTCTACCCTAGCTCTTCTTTTTAAAGTTTGATGACAGAGTAAGAGTAGGGTAGAGTGTGTTGGGTGTCATCGAGAAGGTGCACCGTTACCAACTGCTGCACCTCCGAAACCATCTCTAGAACCGCACATATCCACCTTCCCCAACACTTCCCATGCAGTGCACAAAGCTTGTTGCAACTCCACGTTCCTAGTGGAATTGAATAATTTTGGAAAAACTGTCTTATATGAGAAAACTCCGGAGGGTAAAATGCGGTGAAACAAAAAGATACCAGCACGCATCCCTTAGGCATATGATCATCCCCCTCAAATAATCGAATCAAGCTCAACAACAAACCATACAAATACGGCAAGCATCGTAACTGAGCCATCTTCAATATTGAAGTCAATGCTTGAGCTCGCACTTCACTCAGGCTCCTTGAAAATCCCTGAAATCACTTATTGCAAGTTGCCGTTTAATTGACTCACAAGTCACCTGGCGTATTGGGATTATGATCAAATGCACCTGCAAAGCACGTGCCCATATTATTCACCTTGCCGTGCACTTGATCGGAGCAGAAGAAGCCATGAGAGCACCGATTGCATGTGCCAGCTGCTGTCACTCAAGAATCACCAGGTGTACAGAGATCATGATCGCATACGCCAGCACAGCACATGCCCATCACACGCACCTTGCCGTGCATTGTGATCAGAGCAGAAGAAGCCCTGAGAGCACCGATTGCATGTTGCGTGCTGCTGCGACGATGCTGCTACTGCTGATGATGATGCTGCTGCTGCTGTTGTCGCAGTTTCTGCCTCTAAACTCACTCCTGCTGCACGAACTGGGGATGGCGCTGGTGCTGGTGATGGTGTTGCAGGGGTGAGTGGCTTGGGTTTCTCTGTGGTGTGCTTGCCACGCTTGCAGCTGAAATGAAAACCAAGAGGGAGGGGGTGGCAAGGCAAGAGCAGAAGGTTGGAAGAAAAATCGCAGGTGACTCAACAGCAAATACAAACAAGCACAGTCATCAGATTTTGTTGGACAAACACATTCAGCCAGGAAGAACATATATGCTGCCTGCCCCACAGACGAAAAAAAAAAAAAAAAAAAAAAAAAAAAATTGAAAACAGTTGCATCGAGATGAGTCTTGACAAACAAAGGGACGTGCACGCATGCAGGTAAGACAAAAGTGCGAGTGTCAAGATGCTTTGGAACAAATTCCACGTGTTAATTTGGTGTGGATTGAATTGATTGTATGCGTTACCCTGGGATGGCGAGGAAGAGCGAGAAATCGTGGCTTCGTTTGTGGCAGCACATCCACTCCTTGGTGCCGTCGTGGAATACTGGCTGAGAAGGGGTTGGGGGAGGAGGAGAGTGTGGGAGAATGAAAGGGAGCAACGAAGTACTCAGAAGCTCAGGCTCTGCTGCTGCGGACAGCACATTTTCTCCTTGGTGCTGTTGTGGAATATTGGCAAATGGGACGACGGGGGGCTTTGCTGCTTGTGGCAGCACATTCACTCCTAGGCGCCGTCGTGGAATATTGGTTGTTGGTGAGCAGTGGGGTGGGGGGCATCGGGGGAGAGCCAAGGGGACAGGGAGAGAGAGGGGGCGAAGAGGAATTGGTCAAGAGAGACGAGCGGGAACTAGTATCCCTGAAGTTTAGTCACGTGCAACCAGCCCCTCTGCCCACCAGCCCCTCTGCCCACCAGCCCTCCACCTGCCCCTCTGCCCATCTGCCCATCTCCTCATCTCGTCACCTGTCCATCTCTTCGTCTCTTCATCCGTTCTCTTCTATTAATACAAGCACCTCGTTATACTTCGCCTCTTCATCCCGCTGCCTCTCATCATCCGTTCGTCTCTTCCTCTCTTCGCCCTCTTCACTTGCTTAGTTCTCTTCATCTGCCGCCCATCTCTTCAGCTCGCATCATCCGCTCATCCGTGTATCCGCTGAAGAGCATACCGGCTGAAGCAAGGAATGATGCGGGAGTTGATGTCAACCGCAGCAGGTGTTGGTGTTGTTGTTGTGGGCCGATCACGCCGTCACACCATGAATGTCAGCCCATACACCCCATGCGACGTGGGCAGGGGGGGAGGAATATTGGAGAACGAACAAGTGAATCAGACGCGTGGAAGAATGGAGCACGTGGCACGATGGGACATGCGATGGGGCATGTGGCACGATGGGACATGCGATGGGGCATGTGGCACGATGGGACATGCGATGGGGCATGTGGCACGATGGGACATGCGATGGGGCATGTGGCACGATGGGACATGCGATGGGGCATGTGGCACGATGGGACATGCGATGGGGCATGTGGCACGATGGGACATGCGATGGGGCATGTGGCACGATGGGACATGCGATGGGGCATGTGGCACGATGGGACATGCGATGGGGCATGTGGCACGATGGGACATGCGATGGGGCATGTGGCACGATGGGACATGCGATGGGGCATGTGGCACGATGGGACATGCGATGGGGCATGTGGCACGATGGGACATGCGATGGGGCATGTGGCACGATGGGACATGCGATGGGGCATGTGGCACGATGGGACATGCGATGGGGCATGTGGCACGATGGGACATGCGATGGGGCATGTGGCACGATGGGACATGCGATGGGGCATGTGGCACGATGGGACATGCGATGGGGCATGTGGCACGATGGGACATGCGATGGGGCATGTGGCACGATGGGACATGCGATGGGGCATGTGGCACGATGGGACATGCGATGGGGCATGTGGCACGATGGGACATGCGATGGGGCATGTGGCACGATGGGACATGCGATGGGGCATGTGGCACGATGGGACATGCGATGGGGCATGTGGCACGATGGGACATGCGATGGGGCATGTGGCACGATGGGACATGCGATGGGGCATGTGGCACGATGGGACATGCGATGGGGCATGTGGCACGATGGGACATGCGATGGGGCATGTGGCACGATGGGACATGCGATGGGGCATGTGGCACGATGGGACATGCGATGGGGCATGTGGCACGATGGGACATGCGATGGGGCATGTGGCACGATGGGACATGCGATGGGGCATGTGGCACGATGGGACATGCGATGGGGCATGTGGCACGATGGGACATGCGATGGGGCATGTGGCACGATGGGACATGCGATGGGGCATGTGGCACGATGGGACATGCGATGGGGCATGTGGCACGATGGGACATGCGATGGGGCATGTGGCACGATGGGACATGCGATGGGGCATGTGGCACGATGGGACATGCGATGGGGCATGTGGCACGATGGGACATGCGATGGGGCATGTGGCACGATGGGACATGCGATGGGGCATGTGGCACGATGGGACATGCGATGGGGCATGTGGCACGATGGGACATGCGATGGGGCATGTGGCACGATGGGACATGCGATGGGGCATGTGGCACGATGGGACATGCGATGGGGCATGTGGCACGATGGGACATGCGATGGGGCATGTGGCACGATGGGACATGCGATGGGGCATGTGGCACGATGGGACATGCGATGGGGCATGTGGCACGATGGGACATGCGATGGGGCATGTGGCACGATGGGACATGCGATGGGGCATGTGGCACGATGGGACATGCGATGGGGCATGTGGCACGATGGGACATGCGATGGGGCATGTGGCACGATGGGACATGCGATGGGGCATGTGGCACGATGGGACATGCGATGGGGCATGTGGCACGATGGGACATGCGATGGGGCATGTGGCACGATGGGACATGCGATGGGGCATGTGGCACGATGGGACATGCGATGGGGCATGTGGCACGATGGGACATGCGATGGGGCATGTGGCACGATGGGACATGCGATGGGGCATGTGGCACGATGGGACATGCGATGGGGCATGTGGCACGATGGGACATGCGATGGGGCATGTGGCACGATGGGACATGCGATGGGGCATGTGGCACGATGGGACATGCGATGGGGCATGTGGCACGATGGGACATGCGATGGGGCATGTGGCACGATGGGACATGCGATGGGGCATGTGGCACGATGGGACATGCGATGGGGCATGTGGCACGATGGGACATGCGATGGGGCATGTGGCACGATGGGACATGCGATGGGGCATGTGGCACGATGGGACACGCGATGGGGCATGTGGCACGATGGGACATGCGATGGGGCATGTGGCACGATGGGACATGCGATGGGGCATGTGGCACGATGGGACATGCGATGGGGCATGTGGCACGATGGGACATGCGATGGGGCATGTGGCACGATGGGACATGCGATGGGGCATGTGGCACGATGGGACATGCGATGGGGCATGTGGCACGATGGGACATGCGATGGGGCATGTGGCACGATGGGACATGCGATGGGGCATGTGGCACGATGGGACATGCGATGGGGCATGTGGCACGATGGGACATGCGATGGGGCATGTGGCACGATGGGACATGCGATGGGGCATGTGGCACGATGGGACATGCGATGGGGCATGTGGCACGATGGGACATGCGATGGGGCATGTGGCACGATGGGACATGCGATGGGGCATGTGGCACGATGGGACATGCGATGGGGCATGTGGCACGATGGGACATGCGATGGGGCATGGGGTGGACAATGAGTAGGGCATGGGGAAGGGAGGAAGATTGAAGGACAATGATGAGGTGAATATTAAAGGCGCCTAAAAAATAATCAGATGAATTAGGCAAATGGTGCAGGATCCAGGAACGGTGCATGTGCGATGGTGTTGCGATGGGCATGTGATGCGATGGGCATGCGACGGTGCATGTGATGCGATGGGCATGCGACGGTGCATGTGATGAGATGGGCATGCGACGGTGCATGTGATGCGATGGGCATGCGACGGCGAAAGTGATGCGCGCCAGGACAAGCGGCGGGGCAGATCACTCATAACGCTGGGTGAATTCAGCAGTACGACACAGAAACCCGCCGCGTCTGAGGCCGTCAGAGCCTCTTGAGACGCGACAAGAGGCACGCGCGACTGCTTTAACCCTGGTTAAGAAGGTCTATCACCTCATACGTCAAAGCGCGTGTGAGTGCTTTTACCCCTGGATGGTAGCAGCAGCTCATGTCGTCGTTTTCTGCGTCCGTGAAATACGCGTCACACCCGATCCTCTCGCACCGCTTCCTCCCCTCCGCGTCTATCGCGGGCGACATGGCCGAAGCTCTTGTATCCGTAAACGAAAATATTGGGATGAGAATGGATGTCGGGATCGTAAGAAACAAGCTCGGTGAGATCACACTGAAGCAGCGTCACTAGTAGATACGCGCGTTTATCGCGGGCGACATGGCCGAAGCGCTCTCAAAACGTCGAGATCGGAAAGCCCAGGAAGAGAGCGCGGCAGAAGAAGCGCCTGGTATCACGTGAAAGCAACGTTGCTATTCGATGCGCGCGACGTGCATCGCTGGTACTGTAGTCAAAAACCGCCAGCGAAACCGCTTTTATTTCTGCTAGCAGCTTGCACGAGGTTCGGCTATTTCGCATCCCGGTAGGTTGGCGTTGATTGTCAATCTAGCTATTTCGAGGATGTTCCACGCCCTAAGAGAAGACTCGCGCCGTTATTGAAAGCAAGAAAATACACCAACGGAATGTTGCACTCATGCTCTATAAGTGGAGGGGCAAACCGCTACAGGCCCCACAATATCAGGGAAAAACATAATGATTACCCTGATTTCAGGATGCAATTTTGAATTTGCCCTGTGATTTCAGAATTGTGTCAATTTTCACCCTGTGGCCTCAGGATGTTGTAATTTGAAATGCCCTGGAAGTTCAGGATGGCCGTGAGGTTCTTCCCTGTAGCTTCAGGATGAATGTCGAGGCTTGCCCTGGCGCGATTTTTTAGGGGGAAGAGAATTTTGGGGGGGGGGGGGGGGGGGGGGGGGGGGGGGGGGGGTTTATTCCCGTTCCGGAGGGATTTTTTCCCCTGCGTCTTTTCCCCACCTTCGCACGATTCCTTTGACAGATCTGATCCCCCGCAACGCACCTTCCAAACACATCGCTCTCGTCTCGTTGTGTAAGGTTCGTCTCTGTTGGCATGGGTAGGGGCTTGGTCATAGGTCAGGGTGGGGTTTGGTGGATTCGGTTCGGAGTTTTCCGCATTGCCTGCATCAGCTGAAGGAGGGAGCTGCAGGTTTCCGGTTCGACTCAGCAGGCATTGGGCGGGGCCGTGGCATGGCATGGGCATCGGTCCGGAGTCGAGCGGCTTCGGGGGGTTTCCTTTGCTTGGATTGGATCAGAACCCTGAACACTCGTTCTTTTGCCCTGACAGGTCAGGATCAATTTCTGCAAAAGCCCTGACACTACAGGAAGGTTTTGAAGAATTGCCCTGACAAATCAGGGCATTTTTTAAGATTCTGGGAAGTTGTCCTGAGGCCTCAGGGTGCCCCAAATCCTAGCACGGGGCCTGAACCGCTACATTGATGCTGCCGTAATCGTCCGGATATAAGACAGTGTTGAATAGTAGACAGGGGTTGTCTACTATACGGGTGTCTCTTATAAACAGGCTAGCCTCATTATAAGGCACCTAATTAAGACAAGACTCTTCAAGGAGTTTGCAGAGCAGTCGTCATAGCATTTCAGATCTCAATCATACAGCACACTAGATTGCAAATGACAAATAGTGGTAACTTAAAACAATAGAATGGTTTTGGATCTACCGTAATCCCCCGTATATAAGACCCTAGGGTCTTATGATAATCACCCCTAAATAGGCTGGGGGGTATAATTACATGGTGTATTTTTTAGAAGACCCGGGTCTGTTCATATTGACATTTATAAGAATGTAGTTTTGGAGCTCAAAGTAGTGATTTGGAAGTGCTCCGTTTTTAGCTCCTGCCAAATATAATCGAATTGGTCTCCACACGGGCCGAACCCACGTCATCACGAACCCTATCTGGGAGCCTCCTCCCATTGGCCACCAACACCACTTGGTGTCCATTAGGGTGGTAATGTGGGTGTGCATGTGTGCTCATGGGTGCAATCAACACTGAATTTGACCATTTTCAATTGCATCTTTGTAAAATCCGCACTTCTCTAGGATGTGTTACGAATAGTAATACTTGATATTACTGTGCACTCCTCACCGCAGCAAAGAGGCATGCAGTATCGAGAACGAATGCGAGGAGTCAGAGTTGACTCGAAGCGTCAGACGGTTAGGGTGGATCTAGACCGTCGGAGAAAAACGGCATCGGGCAGCTGCAGGGACAATGAATCTGGCAGGGACAATGAATCTGGCGGGAACAGTTTCGTAACTGCTCGGGCCGCACGGTTGGTTTGAATTCGAATAAGGGAATGTACCCCTTAGAGTACATGGCTAGCTAGGTCGCTTCGTATTCCCCTGTACTCATATTTATATCGTTGTGTTTGCATGTTTTATTTATCTCAAAGCATTTTACATTCACTCTGCTATTGAGGTCAAGGGCCCACCAAACTATCTCACTGCGTGCGAACCTTCCTGGGTAGATCCTGGGCTACGATCAACTTCTGATCTCAGCATGGTATGAGAGCGGCTCAGGAATCCTTCGCACTGCCACTCCCAAAAATTGCGACATTCGGAAAGTGGCGTCCGGCACACGCTCACGAGTGAAGATGGCCGGAGGATCTGGTGGTCAGACCAATCTAACGGCTGAAGCGCAACCCAACCCGGCTGCGACAAGCGAAAACACGACGACGATCGGCACCGAAGTTCTCGCACAACTTCTTCAGCGACTCACCAGCCTGGAGCAAGGACTCCAAACATTGCGGAACGGCGATGCGGGAACATCCTCGCAACCATCCCAACCGGCCCCAACTGGCCAGAACGCCGCCCCGCACACATTCTCTCTCGACACCAATGGCTCAACCCCCAAGGCTCCCCGTCCCAGTGAAGAGGCAATTCTCTCTGCTCAATCAAAGTTTCTGAGCATATCAAAAATAAAGACAAGTACTTGTTTTGACGGCAGAGACTTCTATACCTGGAGCTTCGAGTTGGAGCTCTTGCTGCAGAACGCCCAAATCTTTCACTATTTCGACGGGAGCTACGCGGAGCCTGCCGACGACACGGACGACGCCAGGACCCGCTACTACAACGAGTCCCTAATGGCGTACGGGGTGCTCCTGCGGAACATGGCACCGACGGAGCAACTGAGCATACGCTCATACAAGACTTCGGCCGCCCCAGCCCTTGAAGCCTGGCGACACCTCAACGGTGTGTATCAGCCGAAGGACTCCGTCTCCTCGAGCCGGCTGCTTCAGCAGCTACTGGAAACAAAAATGGCCCCAAGGGAGAAGGCCAACAGCTACATCAATCGCTGTCGAAGCCTTCGCGACCAAATCGCGAAGCTGGGAAGCTCGATTTCGGAAGAAATCTTCGTGAATATCGTGCTTCAAGGGCTCGGCCCAGAGTGGCGGCCCTGCAAGGCGCTTCTTCGACAGCAGGGGGTCATCTCGGAGGCCGCCCTTTGCGCCGCCCTTCTCGTCGAACAGAGGGATATGGATCAGCAGCGACCTGCGCCGCGACGAGAACGCGAAAGGCTCGCCTTCTACGCCGACAACACCGAAGAGCGAAAGCCACGGCGCCTCTACTGCAAAATCTGCAGAAATTTCGGGCATCTGGCGGATCGATGCAAGAACCGATCCCGCCCTCGCCAGACCAATCCGAGCACCTGGTCCGGCCGTCAAGACGCACGAGGCGACGCGCGTCATGCCCAGGGGTATCAGCCCCCTTCCGCGCGCAACCTGAACCCAGCGGTTCAGCATCAGCAGCAGCAGCCGTCACCGACTGCCCCAGCTCGCAACGTCATGAGCAACATGGCCATGACCAGCGAATCGCGTCGTCGCCGTGCCCGCTCGCCTTCACCCGAGCCGGCACCGCACCCCATTGGCGCGTTCACCAACAACAACCCGTTCAACCCGCGCCACGATTTCACCGACGACGACGACCAAGACTGGAACCTTCCAGTCCCGCTGCTTGAAAGTCCCCCGCACGTACCTGATATGCGGGTGGCGCCAATTGATTGGCTCTCGCGCGAGCAATTTTTGAAGTTCGACACTCCGCACATCGTCACACCGCGACTGGCGCTGCTCGCCCGTGACGACAACAAGCGCTACAACACCTGGTACCTGGACAGCTGCTGCGGCCAGCATATGGTGGGCTCCGAGCGTTACATATCCAACGCCATCCCCACTCCTACCGCCACCTATGTCACTGTGGCGAACAACACGCGCCTGCGCGCAAGCGCGCAAGGCATCGTCGTGCTCAAAGCACGCGGGAGCCGCACGCACATCACGCTCAACGATGTGCTGATCGTCCAGAACCTGCGCTTCAACCTCCTGTCTGCAGCACAGCTCATGGATTGCGGCGTCGAACTCAGCACGGACCGCGCGACGCGCGATATTTTGTTGCACTACGAAGCGCGCAACTTCCCCCGCCGGCAGATCGGACGAGCACACTCCGACAATGGGGTGTACGTCCTAGACTTTGACATCCCCGACTGCAGCGGCGACTCGCACGAACTAATCGATCTCGTGCCACTACGCTTCGAGCACATCCACCGCAGGGACTGGAAGCACCCTGACGGGAGACCGTGGGTGCCACATCATCCACACCCACGAGAAACAGCGCTGCACGACCCTGACGCAGACGGCATGT